AACATCATTTTCGTTCGTCATCTTTTTGTGCAAAAATCTTTATTATGAGACGAAGAGATGTCATCATCCAAAAGAAGTTCTCTTTTCGGACAATGTCACAATTTTCAGTTTCAGTTCACACAGTTTCAGAACAGATAATTAAGGCTCGCGTGCGCGTACATAGTTAAGAGGACCGCAGCATAGTAGTATATCCTCCAGGATGTCTTCGGTACAATTCACGCAACATTGCAGCGTGTGAGTACATGAGTTGGCGCAGTTTGGTCAGAGCATCAAGTGCAGAGTAAGAATTTGAAAACCGCAGACCTCTCCAAGAGGGAATATGTCAACGAAATGTTAAATAATATTTTAATGAACATAATTCTAATAATAGTTAAGATTAGGCAACCGCAGCATATAATGGGGGAAAATATCAAGATACAAAGATATGAAAATAACAAAGTGTATGTTTGAGGAGTATGTGAATAGGGAATGGAGCGCTATTTAGAAAGGTGACAATTTATTCATTTTCTCGAAGTGCATTGTACTCTTGCTCCATCGCCATGGAGGGGGGGAGGTGGAGGGGAGGGAGGACTCATCGCCGCCATTGTCCACCCGGCCCGGGCCGGCGCCGATGCGTGGAGTGCACGTATGGCGGGTTAATAGAGTGTTATTTGCGGCCGTTTGTGCCGCCAAAGTGGACGATTCTCCTCTCCTGTTGAGAGAGATTTGTCGGCCGCGGCGACGCGACGGCTCCCCGCGCCCAGGGCTGCCAACATCACCGCGCCAGCTGCTCGGGCGACTGGAATGGCAGCGATCGATTGGGAGCCTCAGAGGCCGAAGTCCTCGCCAAACACACGCCTTATTTCCAGTTAAATGGAGATAATACATTATTTCGTTGCGATATCAGCGGTACATATTCGTTACTGCCAAATCTACTCCAACGTAACTGAAGCCCGACCTGCCAAAGTATTGCATTCTAATGTTTCCATTCAATTATTTTGCACATTTCTCTTCGAACAGTAAGTTTCACCGCGTTTTCTTATTTACGTTGTCTTCTCAACCTCCTCTTTGCGTTCACGTTCACCTAGAGTAATTGATTCCTTCGCAAGCCGTCAGTATCAATGGTGAGGAACCTGCTAAATGATACTTTAAATATTTTGGCGCTAGTTTTTAGTAAAATCTTACATATGTAGTGTACAAAGTTAGCTTTAGAAAAAATTTAAAAAGTAAGAGTATGGCTGGCAGTCTACATTACTGTAATTAATGACTATCGACATGAGGGAAAAGAGAAGAGAAGAGTGGAGGCCTGGTACAGAGGATACAGAAAATGAATGGAAAAAATTAAAATGAAATCGTAGTGTGATGATAATAATGATAACACATAAATGACACTAAATGAACCTAGTAGTGATAGACAAGGAAAAGCAAATGTTGAACTCAAAAAAACTCAGATATAAACATTTAGTAGTGTATTTATTCTGCGTAACTTCCCTGTCAGCATTAAATCCCAAAAATGATACTCTACAAATTAATTGAGAAATGTTGTTGTTCTTTTCGTGACTTCCGCTTATTACATGCCTTTATCGTGGCGGTCCACTCATCCGGCGCGCCTTCCAGAATTTTCCCCCACCAGGTTACTCCCACCCATGGGACAGCCGTAGCCGGGAGAAGCTCCAAGCTCCCGTCTCATCCCCCGACATGTGCGGTAGTGTAATGCATGTAACTGTGTGTAAGTAAGGGATGAGGATCGAAAGGGGTGTAAGGGGTGAAAGATCGCTCGCCGTCCATGGCCTGTTTGTTGAGGTAATGTTCCGGGTTTCACCTGGAATTAATCGGAGAAACCACGTAAAACTCCCGATCAGAGCAGCCGACCGCTAGAATTGTCCAGACAGACTGAATTCGACCTAGCTGTCTAGCCAGTGCTGCAGTCAAGACTCGATCCCTCCTGGTCAAAGGCACTGCAGTGATGTCAATATTGATCCCCTGAGCTTGTAAATGAGTGGTTATGAAAGTGCTAAATACCACGAGGAATTATGATCGTAAAGTAATAATTTGTTAATATTAATATATAGGTAAGTCTTTAATGCCATTCAGAGAATAAATTTGAATTATAAGTTATTATATTAAAATGTTTATTTACATATTATTTCACAAACAATGTAGTAGAAATGAGAGTGAAAACGCAAAAGGTTTAGGTCTGGCTTCTATTGGGCGGGCTGCTACACAGCTCTCGCTCCTAGGCGCTATCCCACTACTGCCTCCCACGGGAACTTTTGACTGCTGGGTTTCCCCCCTGGTCCGGTTCGCCCCGCCTTAGCCAACCTGAACATCCCTGGCTCCCCTAGGATGCCCATATTGATGGCAGGCTTAGTGCGGACGCCCAGTCAACGTGAGGCACTGAGTCTCAGATCTCCCGTCCTCAAGACATCCTCTAAACCTAGCCTCCAAGCAGCTGGATTACAGGAGCACGCCACCACTCCCAGCTGCAGGGAAGGGTCTAAAATTGGGTTTATAAAGACCGTTCGGTTCAAATCCTGTCGGAGACCTTTTATTATTTTTATGCTTGCTGATTGATATCAGAACATTTAGTTTGTAATCACTTATTTGAATAATGCATTAAAATTCTAGTTATTTTCCTTTTTATAAGACAAAAGGGTTATTCAAATTACGTATTTAGTTCTCAATAAAGGGCAGCATCAACGGCATCATGTGGCGAAGCGCAGAAGCTAGACCAGCCCGCTCCTTTTAAAAATAAACGCTACGCGGCGCTGCTGCTCTTGCATTCCAAGGGGATGTTTTTAACCTCTAACCTCACGTGCGTAGAGGCCAAGTATGCACACTCTGATTTCTGTTGTTTTTTCATTATTAATTCTCATTTTGTTGTTTCAGCATTTCAAGGTTTTGAATTATATATATTCATAAATTACCACGTACATTAAAAATAAGGATTATTAACATTACAATGTGGTGTATTATTCCTTATTACGAATTTTCTTATTGCTCTCTCGGCTGATAATAACATACATCGGGGTAGAATTGATCAGTCAGTTCTCGTTTCCCCTAACCGGCTGAGTTGATTCCTCATCCAAAATCTTTTTAAAATTCAGAATCTATAAAAATAAGAAGATTCTAAGGGAAAGTATGAGAAGTCCAAAATAGAAATTGTACCGGCATTGTACCGCAGAGAAATATGAGGTTGTGCTTGGTCTATTGCCATTTAGCGGCCTTCCAATAAATAAATCTAAAGAAGCGGCGGTTAAAAGTGCTTCTCGCCACTGGCATGAATTTCACATGAAGGTTCAAGAAAGAACTAAAAAGCGAATTTGGTCTTGCTTGCTCTTTCGCAAAACTCATCAATTACTGAGGTAAAATTTATGAGATTCAGTTTAAAGTTACATTGTAATAAAAAAAATCTTGAATAACAGTAAGTTGTTTAGAAAATATTCGTATATTTATTATAAGTACAATTGTTTCTTTCAGTTATTGCACTTTTAGACTACAACTGTATGATAAGAAATATTCTCAGATATTCTTCTTACAACAATACTATATGTAGGGGAGACTGTTGTATCTTGGATCACAATTTACATTTATAGATTTTTAAAAGCCATTTTCAAAAATTTGACAAGGAAAAGAGCCTCTCTTGATAACAACATTATTCCTACACACTATGTAATTTTTTTGAGAATTTAAGTGTTAAACATTATCAGAAAAAATATATACAATATTTATACTGATATGTGATCAGTGGTACAAAACAATAATGTACCATCACACTCTAATGTAACTTGGATCATAACTTCTTGTACCTAGATTATAAGTTTTTTATAAACTTTTTTTAAACAGAAATTTACATTTTATAGTTTTATTACAAAGAGAAATAACATTTATTAAAGTGTTACCTAATTTGTATCTGTAAATATGGACAAAAGTCACAAAATGAAATGTAAATCTTATAATTTCAGTTGAATAATTAGATATCTAAATTAAATTTAACTCAAAATTAGGTAACCAAATTATCGTTTAAAGCCAGAAAAGTTCATTAGTTCATGCCAATCCACATTATCAATGGTACAGGATATTGTATTGATCATTAATGTGCATCTTTTGAAACTTCTCCTCAATATTCGAGGTTAAATTTAAAACTGAAATATGGAATATCAAATTACTCACCAACAAGTAGTGATTCACGCAGAATGTGATTTAACACACGAAACAAAAGTCAACTTGTCCATAAACATACAATGGAAAGGAAAATCGTTTTTTTTTTTAGCGCCAAAAAATATTTCTATTTTACTCGAAAACAGTAGCACGTACACAACGTATCTCCCACTTGCTTGCTCTTTAGTGGGTAAACTTTGTATAGGTTTGCTGTCACGTAGATAGTAGCCTGTCTCAAGAAACTTGAGACGAGAAACGAGAAACGAGATCCAAGATACATTACGATCAAGGCACAATAGTCTTCCTTCATTGAAAATATATTTTGTGAATAAAAATACCACTACGACGAGGCAAACCAGGCCACGAGAGATTCGTTCTTACTGACTCTTACACGAATTGGAGCTGCAAAATAAGCATTTTTTCTTCTTCGATATATCGCAACACATCAGAGTACTGCGGTATAATGGATATTATACAATACTAATGCAATAGGTAATAAAATAATTATAAATTAAATATATTAAAAGATATTAATCACAACGTAGATCAAAGTATTTTCAACAATCAGCTTCCTTGCAATTAAAAATCTCAGATGCATTGTCTGCTATAACCAAAATTGCATCTCGCTATCATTTACATTTATTTCGTATATTACCTTTTATGTAATTTGTTTCATATGTATTGTCTAATAATAATGATACACATTTATTCAGTAAAGACAACACTCAATTTTACGTAAGTTCCTGAGATATTTTAAATAAATTATCTGTGCCTTGGAGAACGAGCTTCCCAATGAATGAAACAAAGTAAAGATAAATGACGCACTGGATGCAGTTCCATCGCCCCTGAAGAAACCGACGTCACCACGCTCGCCACGAAGTCTCAAGTTTCCTCGCAATCGCGCTATTCTGATTCATTCGGCCCAAACTGGAGGCGCCCGGCGGTTGTTCGCTTCCTTCGATGTGCCCCAGCGATCGACGCGCTGCGGGTGGCGGGACGACTAAATGGTCGGCGCTCGGCTCGTAGCAAGCAACGCAACCTCTCTACTCGCCGAGCACCGCGTGCATGGCGCTTTGGCAAAATGCCTTTTTGTTATCGTTACTATTTCATGACTTTTCACAATAGGGATCACTTAATAGTGCTGCTGGCGTTGTTTTAGTACGTTTTCATTTTGTCTTATTTTGCCTATTTTAGCTTTTGGTGCCTATTTTTGTCATTTGTTCACATTTTTTTGCCTTTTTCTGCCTTTAACAACATTATTTTGCTTTCCTTTCTTCTGGAAGAGATTTCGATGAAGCTGCAAGCGTATGAAACTCAAAGGCACAATTGTATTTTGTCTTCCTGTGGGAGCAGAGACTTAAAAATTATTTTTGATTTTTTTTCCATTGATGCCGACGGACTCTAATCGCTTACGAAAAATCTCATCCTACTTTTGAGTATGACTTCGAATCCCCTGTTGGTGACAGCCCTCTGCGCTCGATAGACCCTTCTCTGTGCTGGCGATTGCACAAGTGCGAGGAACGAAAAATATAATTCTGTTTTCACTGATGTCATTTCAAGATTCATAAGGGAGTCCACAATATAATTTCGAAGAGACAGCGTCGAATAGCGAATAAAGCGAAGCTAATAAAAGAAATTCATAGTCATCATAGTAGATGATCATGTGAAATCAAGATTACAAAGAAAATATCGTTTCCTTATATGGTAAGAGCTAATGTAAATTTTACATATAGAAAAAAATGTGGACCACTTTAATTACTCATTTTTTATATTAATTCCTTTTGAAAGTGATTTTTCATCATTTATAAGCCATTTGCATTACTACTGTAGATAGAGCAAATGCCTTTTGCTGGTCTATTTTAGGTAAAATAAATGCCTAAACTTCCGGGCTCTAGGAATGCCAGTCTCGTTCTCTTCCAAACGAGCCCCCTTCGAAGCAGTGGATGGACCCACTCTCGAGAAGCCACAGGAAAAATTAGGGGATGAATAAACACGGGTGCAGGGTGAGTGAGCTCAGAGACAGCATTGCTGTTCTCTGCAGCAACTCCTACTGAGAGGTTCTAGAGTTCTACTCCCGCCGCTGGCGTTTTTTGACACTAACTGAATAGCTAGATCAAATTGGAGGACAATTCTAGCTATCTGCTACTCTGATTGGTAGTTTTCCGTGATTTATTCGATCCAGGCGAATACCGGAGCAGCACTCTAACCAACGGAGCGCGAACCACGAGTTACCTTTCCTTGTCTTACCGCCTCTTGTTACACATACCCTGACACTTAACTACCACACACTTCGGGAGCTCACAGCTTGTCCCGCCTGGGCAGGGCTGCGCTGGAGGAGATACCTGCAGAGGAAATACTTCACAAACCGACGTGGTGTTCGGTGCCGAATCTCGCCACACAGCGGGGGAAAGACCATCGACACCTCCAGAGCAAAAACATGCACTACACTTACGGTACTAATGACCATATCCGTTTACGCGCCCGGAATCACTAATATGTAAATTAATGAATCAATAAATAAGTAAATTAATAACTAAATAAAATTAGGGGAACTCAGACTCATCCCGAACGAAACCGCGAAAGACACTCGGTATTCAGAAAAGGCATTCCTAAAACCGCGTTGGAAAGACCTTCCCGCTGCCGATAAGCCTTCCCGGCATTACTGCATTTGCAATACTTCTCGGTGGTTGAGCGGGTACGTGCTTTTTCGTCCCTTCCTGTTGGCCTTAGGTTTGAAAGAAATGTGGTTGCAAATGATACGACGAAAATGATGCGAAATGAACGATAGAGTGAGGAAAGTGAGAAAAGGTCAAGAAATATTTAAATCGAACGGGTTGTCCACCACAAGTATTCAGAGAGGTGATTGTTATGGGAAGACAATTCGTAACGCAATGTGTGGAAAAACTTCTCAACGTATCGTCACCAATAGCTTTAGGAAGTACTCCTATTTTTCAGTTTCGTGAGGAGGTCGCCACATCAATAAGAGCCCCTTTATAGAAATGCATTGAGTAAACCAAACACTTGAGGCACCACTCGCTGGAGACTGGCTGCTGTCTAGCCCGGAGGCCAATGGAAACGGAATTCGGAGGCGTTCGCACACGAAACGAGTATAAAAAAGGCCCTCCACCTCCCCCCCCCCTCTCGCCGCCTGAACGAAAGAGCAGCTGCGCGACTGCTCCGCGCGTCTCTCATTCATTTCGCGACGAATGTTGTTGTTTGGGCCACATTCTGACAAACGTCTTACCTGTAATACTCCATATCCGGAATAATAAATATTACGCTACGTTAAAAACAATAATATTCGAAGTATGTATTTAGCTCTGTGCTACCAAGTCTGAATCGGGCCAGAGCACCGAAGCACTTTCTTTTTTTTGCTTTGGATTTGGATTTGGTGCCTAGCTTCAATTCAGACGTAGTATGGGAGGGCGCATGCGCTACAGCAACTCCATGTAGAGTTGGGAAGGAAGTTGGATTTGTTGCTGAGTGACTATAAAATGTATTAGTAAGCCCTGATCAAGGAATTAAAAGATTCCGAAACATTGGTAAACAAATTGTTTGTACATCGACCAATCCCGCGAACTTCGTCCCTAATTGGGCACCAATGTTAATCTCTCTAATACATTAATATCTCTTCTATTACGGAATTTCCGGGAATCTGGCTCGCGAACTCAGCGTAACGATAAGATGGTGAACCCTTGGCCACTACGTTCACACACTTGGTGCAGAGAGGATCTCCGTCATGCTGGTTGGTGCATTTGCATAATGCGTTTTACTTAAATTCAGTTACAATGTAACCAGTATCAATTACGGCAGCTATGGTTTGTCGTAAGTGTATGTAAATTATAGTACAATGCACATGTTTGTTATTTCTACATGGCATTGTGTCCGGTAATACGTTGTAGATTACATTTAAGATGTAATCTACTTGCAAGATACCTTTACTACTTGCAAGTTTTAATATTTAATTGTCTCTTGTTTTGTTTTCATGGGTCCAAATATAATTTGAAGAAAGCTATTATCACGAGGACAGCAATATTATATTGTTACGAAAAGCTTTGACACCATAAAATTTTATTCATATCTAAATGATTATTAATTCATTATTCAAGTACCTGTGTTATGATTGTTTGCCCACAGCAAACATTTGTATTATAAATAAGCTTTATTTTCTTTAGCTATTGTAAAATGTCATAAAAGTGTGCGTTATTGATCGATGTGGCAACATCACAGCTGTTAATTGTGAAAATTATGTTAATTTAAAGACTTTAACTTTCCGTTCATTGATTAATATACTACATTTACGGCAAACGAAGCCATCTTTTGACAATTACATTCACTTCACTCCTGTATATGTGTATTAATCATACACTTATCGCAGTAATTACAATTCAAAATCCTAACACACGTCTTTGTCACTGAGCTATTGTTAGTAAATGAGCATGCACATAAAATACAATCCACAATTATTTTAATTCTTATATTGCGAGCCCACTTATTTGTTGATAATATGAATATTCTTTGCTTAATTTTGAGGGAATGTGACAATTAAAAAAGTAAAAAAGTTGTTGTTTTTTTCAAAAACAGCTTTTTTCCTTCAAATATTTTCTTTAATCATCTCTAAAACTGAAGATGATCTTTAAATCATCCCACACCCATATCTTTTAGTTTATCCCACCCATGGTGATTTTTCATATATTGTTTACCATGCAAAACAAAGCAATGAAAAGTCAAAAGTCAATTCTTGAATTTTTTTTCCATTTCATATCCTACTTTTCCTTGACTAACTACCGCATATGTGCATCATTGTTTTCTCAGCATTAGAAGGGCATAGGAGAACGAGATGTCATGACGTATGAAATTTCACTTCAGTGCCTTCCTTGTTTTACTTTCTCGACATTCTACGTAAGTGGTAAAGAGAAAGTATTGTAACCGTGCGACTGAAATAGGCAAGTATTCGACAGAAAAACTTATGTGGTCTGGTGAAGAAAGGATGGATAAATATTTTTCCTTGTTGGAAAGGTGGTACCTCACGATGCCACTCGTGGTACAAATGTGTGGTACCTCACGGTGCGACACAGATAATCAAATCTATTTTATACCAGATATCTCTGTTCCCTAAAAAGACAGGCAACTCAGAAGTTAAACTAGACTGTTGACTTATTTTATTGTTCACAGAACAGTTTTCCAGAGGCCATTTTTCTATAAACCATTACTTTCTGTAGTTTTTTTTTAAATTTTAGCATGCGGACGAGGTTTGCGAGCTGCAATGTAACCGAGGGATACGAAATTGCTGATGAAATCAAGGATGGATTAGAGCCGGAATCGGTAGGGTGACTTAGGCTCCACGAATCTCCGTTGAGGAGTCAGAGGAATGGTGTCCTCAAGCCGCCGCTTCAATCTCCTCCTTTAACCTGCCTCCTCAACACATCTCTGCAATCGATAATCTCCATTCTCTCGCCTCCCCATCGCCGTCACTGTCGGCGGAGGTACCCTTTGTAATGCAGCATGCTTTCCAGCCACTACTACACATTTGCATCAGTATTCCTTCGAATTTTGTTACGTGGTTATATTGCTAACTTAACATGTACCTGACCGGAAACACATGGTGGCGTGGTATGGAGTGTCTGTAGCACGAATTCAAGCACTTCTCATTCATTTGCGGTCCTTGTGTATTTTATATATTTTGGTGTTTTATTTGCCTTAGTGTTTTAAACTCTTTCTGTGTAGTGATTGTGTAGCAACTACTTAGGGGGTGGAAGCGCGAGGAATCAGCGCCGCAGAACAGAGAATGTTTACGACGAACAGAGTAAATTATTGGGAGACACTAATCATCAATCTGTGCCTTGTTTCAGAAAGGTAATGATATTACCCACTGAAAATTATATACATTTTTTTTTATTTCGTTTGACAATAAAGTGAAAATACTACTATGAATTCCGATTGCATATCTTTGAATGGAAACTGCGGGTGTTCGAGTTGCTTGGCATTGTGATGGACCGCACGGGGAAGGTTAATGGAGGAGTGTATCTCCTAACAGAACACAGGGGGTCTACATAATAGAGTGAAAGTAGAATTTATCTAAATCGACTCTTCAAAGGCATTCAAGGTCTGTTTATTGGGAAGAACACATCTTGTTCTCTGAGCTCAGTTGGTGCCGTGGCGAGAAAGTGCAAATGTAAATCGTGTGCATAGTGTAGTATATGAGTGAACAAATGCAATGCGAGCTCTTTGTAAATAGTGCGAATCAAAGCGAGAATTGGAGTGTAAATGAGGGTAAAAATAAAATAAAAGTTCACACTAAAACATGTCATTTATAAGTTAAACATCTTTTGTAGATCCAAGGAAACGGCCAAAGCGGCATTCTGTAAATAGGTTCGTTAAGGTACGATAGCTGTACGTTAGTTGTAGAGTAGCTTTAGCTGGATTAAAGTAATCCCCCCTTCTGCCGCAAAAGCCAAGAGGGGCTGCGGCGCGCCCGTAGATTGTACTGCCCCTACAATAAAAGAAATTACTACCTCGCCAGGGATACTGGTGGGGGGAATCTGAAGGAAGAGAACACACATTTTGCGAAGAATGTCCAAAAATTCGCAAACACCATCGATTACACTCTCTGCAGAGATGATAGTGATTCGGAGAAGACTTTTGTGGCGTGAACGCTAATATTGATGGCAACAGTGGTGTTGGAAGTGAATGGAGAGGCCCGGCCCGGCCGCGAGGGCAGCGGAGGAGCGCTGGGCCGCACCCCCACCCCCAGCTGCTCTGGAATGCTCGGGCCGAGAGGGCTACCTCCCGAGCTGCTGAAAGGAGATTTATGCGCCCCCCTCCCGACCAGCCGCCGCCCGCCGCGCCGGGCGCACACTCGCCGCTGCGCCGCACCGGCCACCGCCGCCTTGACGGACGAAGGCAGAGCGCCAACTTGACACGAGGATAGTCTCACTCGCGTTGGCGCAAAAATTACAAATCTGGTCTGGTTTAAAGAGTAATAAAATTTACCTTACGGAAAGTATTGAGCAGCAAAAAAGAGACATATTCCCATATAATTACAGTTTATTTATCTCTGTAATTTCTTGATTTTCTTGTCATTGCGGTGCTAACTTGATGCCGAATGTCTAATAACAGGGTCAAATGAAGAGCGACACATTTTGTTTTTGCTTAACAAATTATCAACACAAAAGCGACAAATTTTAAGTTTCATTTCAATGTTGTTGTTTTTTTTAACTTTGCTGCTCTAACTTCACGGAGCTCGCTTTGAACAAAGTCGGCGCCGTGGCGCGAAGTGCAGTGTACTTAGTTTACTATACCAGAGAGTACTTACTATTCGCGCCAGTTTTCTCGACATTCCACAGCGAGGGGTGTGGGGGGAAGGGACTCTAGCTACTACATCACGGCTTAAAAGGGCGTACCAACAGTGGGCAT